TGATCCATGGTGGTTTGGCTGCTCCTCCTGCCCGTTTCCAGGGCTGAACTGGCCTGATCCCACCAGGATCCAGCAGCTCCTGGGACCACAAAGGTCTTGCTCAGCCCCTGCCTCTCCTTACAGGGGCTTCCTGTGGGGACAAGGGACCCCAAGGAGGGACTGAGAACTTCAGGGTGACCCTCAGGTGGGACTGCGGACACAAACGGTCCCTGGACAACAAGAGGGCACTGGGGACCTAAGAGGGGCCCCTGAGTGGGCCGTACAGCTCTGTGGAACCTCCCTGTCCCTGCAGGTTCCACAAGGAAGAGTCCCACTCCTTCCCCAATCCCCGAGCCTTCCTGTAGCTACCCAGTAGGAGCAAGTGCCCCATTCCTGGAGGTCTGACCCTCTAAGAACCCAGGATTGGGGAGAAAATAAACCACATCCACTTCCCTGAGCCCTGCACCCGCGTGGGGCCTCCCGGAGCAGGTTCCGAGGCGATTCCCTCGGACCCAGATAAGGCCACATGAGCGCACGATCAGGTTTCAAACCACCTGAGTCGGCAGCGGTTGCAAAACAGCCCGACCGGCCCCAGCCAGGCGTTTAATGGGAATCCGGTAAATAAACTCCCATTTCAGCCCTCGCTTTTGCCCCATCAAAGTTTAACCACGGCCGGGGGTTCGCCCGCGGGCCGGGGCAGCGCTGCCTCGCTGGCAAACCAGAGGGTTTTGCCGCGGCCCGGAGTCGCGGCCTCCATGAGCTCAGCCCGACATCCCACCACATCCAAACTGGCGCCACCGGCCCGGCTTGGGAAGCAGAGCCGGCCCCAATTCTCCCGCTCCCAGCCCACCCGGTCCCGTCTCCGCCCGTCCCACGAGCCCCGGCCGGTCCCAGGGACAAAAGGGGCCGAGCAGCCCCGGTCCGGGCTCCCGGCGAGGCTCCTCCGCAGGAAAACTTCCCCGAGCTCTCCCTCGCCGGATCCAACCCCACCCGGGACCCCCGTCCCGAAGTGGGACCAGCACGGGGGAGATCCGGTTCCTGGGGCTGGGACGTGGCTCCAAAACGCGCCTGTCCCTGAGGCGGGAACGCGGCTCCAGAGCCAGCTCAGCCCTGGGCGGGGGGGGGGAACTAGGCCGGGGGTCCTGGGCTCCGAGCCCGGCTGGGGGACCGCGACAGGAACGGGGGTTACGGGGCGACCCCCGGGGCCGCGATGAAGCCCCCGGAGTGAGGGGCGGGTAAGCGGGGGGGTCCCGGGCCGGTGGCTTCGAACTGGCCCCGGAGCCCGGCGGGGGGAACCGGGAGCTGGGGGAGGGGCTCTGGAGCCCGGACCGGGCTGGGGGGTACCGACCCCGGGACTCTGAAACACCCCCAGAACCGGGGGGCTCGGGGGCAGACCCCCGGCCGGGGATCGCGGCTCCACACCGGGCAGGGCCCGGGGGGGCTCGAGGAGGAGGAGGGCGGCCCCCCCTTTGCACTCTGGAGAGTGGGGGGGGAGAACAACAGCGCGGGATGGCGGAAAAAAAAAAAAAAAAAAAAAAAAACAAAGGGGCCCGGCCGGGAAAACACAAACTCCCAAAAATTGAAAAACAAACA